GCATTAAGAGATGGAAGATTGGGGTGGGAAGAGACAGGAGGAAAATTAAAAGCGAATTCATAATGAGACCGGAAGATCTCTGCTACCTGAGCAGAGGAGGTCGTTGGAGAGCCGTCAGGTCGCTTGAGTGCTAGTATCGAGGAAGTTGGTTGCTTTTTACGGCGGAGTGACTTGAATAAGGAATTGGGATTACTTCTAGCCCGAAGAAGAATTGCCTTTTGTTGTCTATTGTGGAATTCCCTAACCCTCTGCTTACATAAGATGCGGGTTCGTTTGAACTCGACAGCATCGGCGTCGAGCCCAGTACATTTTAGTCTAGAAAATGAACGGGCCCACTCGTCCATTAGGTGCAGAATGGAGAGGGGTAGGGGGGCCTATGGTCAGATACAGATTGAACTCTAGCAATAAACAGGGGATCCTCCTCGTAAAAAAGACTCTTGAGCAACTTATTTAGGTTGTTCGGGTCAGTTTCAAAATTGTAGGAGCCCAGCCTGTTGATCAGAAATTCTCGTAAGAGAACAAAATCGGCCCTTTTAAAGGAACGTAGCATTCTGGAAGAGGACCTGCAAGTTCGCCAGCGGATAACATAGTCAAAGGAAAGCAGGTGATTACTTTTACCAACAGGACTTAGGTACAAGATCATGTCGATTTGGCGTCTTTCGTTGGTAATCGCATGATCAAGCAAAGAGGGACGTTGGTCAACACTTTATCTCGTGGAAGATACTACGTGTTGGTACCACTACTGTTCGTTAAAGAGGTTTATAAGGGGTGCACCAAAAATTCTATCTCTGGAGTGGCATCTGGGCCAGTCGATATTTGGGGCTTTGAAATCGCCCAGAATAAGGTGTGAAAAAGACCAGGTGGGATGAAGTTCGCGAAGCTGAGTTAGCAGTGATTGAAATTCCTCCTGTGTGCTTGAAGGGGAACAATAAATAACTGCCAGAAGGAGTTAATCCCTGCTCAGGAGGACGATATTGACCGATAGGGTCTCGATCGATTGAATAGTAAGAAGGGAAACACGCAAAGCAGGTGGGAGGGAATCACCACTCCAAAGGTGGTTAAGGAAATCGAATGTGAAACCTGCAAAAGGTGGGCGCATTCCTGTTGTTCAGGCATTAGCAAAGACTGTATTTAACGTTGATTTTTTTGAAAATCCACGATTATTCTGTGACATTGCCCTATCCATGTGTTGCTTCTCTATTGACCTTTCTCAATCACAACCACCACACGTTATTCTTTATCTGTTGATTTGATGCCCGAAACATTGAATTTGGCGTGTTCAGAGAACGTGGACGACTTGTTGGCTCTCTCTAGACATCATATTTGGTTCTCACTTGCTTGAGTGCTTTTGGCCGCATATTTGAGGTTCGCTTTATTGTAAATTTGTAATGATTTCTCTAATTCAGCACCATAGAACACCACCGGGTTTATATTGATTTTCGCTACTCGTCATTAAATTTCAACTTGGCTGACGTACAGTACTCAAACGAACGAGAAAACTGTTTCAAAGGTACCCTGACGAGGAACTAAGAAAACTGGAACCCAACAGGAAGTCTCTAGGGGGGGGCTGTGGGTCATTTTGATTGTTTAGAAAACATTGTCTGGTAATCTTGTCAGTGCTGTTTCATGTGTAGATTCAGCTGTTAAGGATATTGATATGTTTAAATTGCGGGTTTCTGAACTAGAGCATGAGTTGGGATTATCTAGACAGCAGATAGAGCAGGCCAAAGGTGAAAAGACCGATTTCAACGGCGCAACAACACCCCAAGATGAGATTCCCCATGGTAACTACTCTCCGAATAAAGAATCTGTCTTGAAGTAAAGAACGCACGCCAATGCAAATGTTGATTTGCCAAGAGTCAAACTGACACTATTCGACGGCAATCCCGAACAATACTGTCAATGCAAAACCACACATACAGGTTCCTATTCTTGCTGCATTATTGTCGTGGGAAAGCCAAAGAAGCCATACAATGCAATGCTGGACCCAAATGTGGGCTACCCAAGAGCGAGAAATATACTGAAGGAGATGTTTGACAAACCATTCCGAGTGGCACGTAACATGATTAATGGGGTGCTGGCAGGAGCGAGACGCACACGAAGTGATACCAGATCTCTATCAAACTCGTTCATCAAGATGCAGACCTGCAGGATTGCCCTCAACCACCTCGATTATCGCTCGGACTTGGATACACTACATACGCTGGAATCGATAGTCAGACATTTGCCTGCGGAACTACAGACAGCCTGAGCGACCGAGGCCGATAAAATCAAAAAAGAAAAGAGAAGCAACTTTTGACGAACTCATTGAATTCATAAGCTGCGAATCTCGCATGGCAAACAGTAAATTCTGTCAACTGGGGAGAAAAGGTATCAAAACTGTCAGGCCTTTGACCAGCTTCGCGCCATCTGGATCTCGGGATCTCCATCCTCCACACAATTGCGTGAGCACCAATCTAATCTCAAATGAGTCATACCAACCGATTAATTGCAAATTGTTATCAGGGGTCCACAAGCTTTAGCCTGCCGGGAGGTTTCAGCAATGAAGGTGACGGACAGTTGGACAGTTGCTAAGAAGACAGGGTCCTGCTTTGTGTGCTTTAGTGATACCCACAGAGCAGCCTTATGCAGAAACCGAACCAAATGTGGTCAAGACAACTGCAGTGTTCGACTTCACCCCTTACTACACAACGATGGAAGGGTCGAGCCACAAACAGATAATGGCCGGGTCGATATAATGCACAAAGACTCTGTAGGGAATAAAACGGAATTCGTCTGCACTATCTTAAGGGTGTCAAGTGGGTCTGTCCGTTTGAGAGTAATACCCATCCGCATGGTTTGGTCCAAGCCGTGGCGCTTCCGAACAATGGATTGGATGTCACCTTTGTGAGAGAGAGATTTGCGCGTGAACACGATTTGGAGGACAAAACACCTCACTGGTAATTAGCACGGTTAATGCAGCACAAGCAGTTTGAGCTTCTCAACTGAGTCTGGAGTTGGCTTCTACATCGGGGGAAGATTACATAAAGGTGCACCAGGCATTTCATACCCCAGACCTATCAATGAGAGCTTTTAAAGGTATCAAGTCATTAGCGCAGCGCTGGCCTCACCTCCATGGCCTGCCGTTCGAGGATGCTCCGGGCACCCGAGTGGACATATTGATTGGCTGCGACGTTGTTGTGGTGGCCGGAGGGAGACCTAGATGGACCTGCCTAAAAATATTGTATGACGGTGCACCCGTTTAGCGCGATATCCTCTCGCATCTGTGGAAACTTCGCTTTAAAAACGACCGTGAATCAACTGGCTCAGCGTTTTCAAACCCCGGTTGACTACTGCATTGAACCTAACTTTTATGTGGACGACTTCTTGGGATCCTTTGATAGTATCAAAGAAGCAGTTCGACACATTAGCGACTTATCTAAGCTACCGCTCATGGGAGGGTTCAAGTTATCTAATTGGATGTCTAGCAGTCGTCAAGCAATCAGTCTTCAGTCTTCAGGATTGAGGGAAGAGAGCAAGGTGCCCGTGTAAGCCCCATCACCACTGGGTCGAAGGTCTGATCACAAGTGTTCGTTCCTCCATAGCCCCTTCAGGTGCTCATCCAGACGCTGTTTGATAATAGCGTCTGTCTACTCTTCCGCCACAATCGCTGGAAGGGAATTCCAGAGTGTTGTTGACCTAGGCGAGAGTCGGTAGATTAACGGAAGACCAACTGACTGAAGTTGCCGCAACGCGAGAGGGTGCCCTACGTGCGGTCCTCCGTCCGTAAAGGGAAGTACTGTTGCAGTTCCGGGTCCATGTCACCTCTCGGAATCTTCCTCAAGCAGCTGAGATCTTCCCTGAGGAGTCGATGCGCAATTGAAAACAGACCAGTAGCCTGCATACGACCTGCATAGCTGGTCCCGCGTAGTACAAAAACGAGTCTAGTGGCAGCAGGTAGTACACGCTCCAACTTAGCCAGTTCACCGGCCGCGCAGGGGTATGTCGCCGCACCACCATACTCAAGTCTTCGCTTGACATGGGCATCGCACAGCAGCCTAGAAGCGTCCATCGTGAGCTGGTAGAAAGACCGCCGAATAGGCCCCAGAATGCTCCATGCGCTAGCACAGACCCGATCGATGTTTTCTCGGGTCTTTAGTGATGACGTAACCATAGCACCCAGGTTTCTTTCTCCATATGTTCTGCGCAAGGTGGTTCCCT